TCAGCAACGGTTGGTTGCATTGGCTGGCCCCGTTCTCTCCTCACCGCCCCCCCCCGGCTTTATATTTCAAGTTCGCTCTCCGCCCCCTTCCCATTAAATGGCCGCGCAGTCCAGAGTTGGAATAGAAATGTGTTAAGTCGCCACCTTTTTTGTCTTAGCTCAGGAAGGACGGCTCCAGAGCAAACTAATTTACACAGCAGCCAAATTGCTGGCTCACAACCTTAATGCCAGCAGCTCACAAAGTAGAATTTTTGCTCACAAGACTCCACAGCTTAGAGGGAGCATTGGTCTCAAGTCTCCTGATTTCTTGGTTGCAGGCTCCCTTTGGGTTGGTGACGGAGCCAAGGAATGGGAAAACTTCCATTTCTTCCTCGTCCACCTTAAAGTTTTGTCATTCCCCAGTTGTCATGGCTTTTGTTTTCCTTATTGTTCAGCGGCAATGCCGTTTGGCACTTTCTGCTTTGACCTTCATTGGTTTCCTCTGCAGGTGGTGAATGGCAGCAAGTTAAAGGCCGTTTCCTGGCCGTCAACGTGACTTCCATGAGCAGCGCCTGCCCCAAGAGCCCGGAGGGTCTGTCCCCCTGCGCCCACCTGGCCGACGGAACTGCCGACCTCATCCTGGTGCGCGAATGCTCCACCTTCTCTTTCCTGCGACACCTGACAAGGCACACCAACTCCTCGGACCAGGTATGAAAAGTGCGGAGGGAGCAGGCTCTCTCCTCTCTTGCTGTAGCGTGGTCAGAGCGCCAGTTGGGTGCAGTGGTTAGGAGCGCAGACTCTAATCTGGGAGAACCGGGTTTGATTCCCCCACTCCACCCCATGCAGCTGCTGACGTGATCCTGGGTCAGTCACAAGTTCTTTCAGAGCTGTTCTCTCAAGGGCAGTTCTCCAGAGAGCTCCCTCAGCCCCGCCTACCTCACAGGGTGTCTGTTGTGGGGAGGGGGAGGGAAAGGAGTTTGTAAGCCGCTCTGAGACTCCTTCGGGTAGCGAAGGGCGGGGTATAAATCCAATCTCCTCTTCTATTTCAAACTATAAAATTGTAGCCCTCATGACGTTACAACTAATCCAATATTTGAGTATCAAAATTTGATATTTGGAAACCTTTTTACAGAAGCTTACGTGTAGAGATTTGCCACCACAGTTACATTTTCATTTATGCTCTATATACACAGGGTTCCCCCTCCCTTTTTTCTTCTTTTTCTTTTTAATGAGTAATTGGGCTTCAAGTTTTTCCCCCCTTCATGTTCTTTTTTGTTTTTAATTAAGAAATGGAAAAAGATTTTAAGACCTTTTTTTTCACCATCAAGTCACAGCCAATTTATGGAAACCTCTTTGGGTTTTCAAGGGAAGAAGAGGGAGGGGGAGGGGGTGAGGAGGAAGAGATTGGATTCATACCCCACCCTTCACTACCCAGAGGAGTCTTAGAGCAGCTTACAAACTCCAGGTCACACATTTTTATCTTCGCTCAGGAAGGACGGCTCCAGAACAAACTAATTTATGCAGTAGCCAAATCGCCGGCTCACAACTTTAATGCCAGTAGCTCACAAAGTAGAATTTTTGCTCACAAGACTCCACAGCTTAGAGGGAGCATTGGTCACATCCATGTGACCGAAATGCAGAGTGAAACTATAAGTCCTGCTCTGTAGCAGAGGTTGCAGGTGGCTTCCTTTGGAGCTCTCTTCTCCTGGAACTTCTGGTATAGTTTTCTCTTCAGAAGGTAGCCGGGCTGGGTCTGCAGTAGAACCCCTAAATTCCAGCCCAGCAGCGCCTTAGAGACCAACGAGATTTTGTGGGGTGTGTGAGCTTTTGCAAGTCAACGCTCCCTTGGTCAGATAGGGTCCCCAAGGTGCTAGTGCACTCGAATCCAGCTGGTACAAAATTTATAACTCTAAGACCAGAGTGGGGTTCGAGAGGCTGGCCTTCGCTGTCTCATGTCAGTTCAGTGCCTGTGCACTTAGTACAAGGGCCTAACGACCATCCAGTCCAGCCCCCTGCACCATGTGGGACATCCTAAAGCATCCTTGGCAAATGAGCCTCCAACACCCACAAACACCTCCAAGGAGGGAGAGCCCACAACCAGTGTTCCCTCTAAGCTGTGCATGTGAGCGGCCGCTCATTAACACAGGAAGCCCCGCTCAGCAGCAATCTGTAGCCTTGCAGGGTCTTGCACTGTCCGTGGCCCATTTTAAGATTACAATATATGAGAGATCATGGGGGAAGCAGTTAAGAACGAAAATACAGCTGTGATAACTCAGTGTAACATTGTATCATCAATTGTTTACCAGACGCATTCATATAAACATATACATGCAAGTTAGAATGGATAATTGCTTGTTTGGTGTAGTGGTTAAGTGCGCGGACTCTAATCTGGGAGAACCGGGATTGATTCTCCACTCACACCTGCTGGATGACCTTGGGCAAGCCAGAGTTCTGTCAGAGCTGTTCTCTCACCAACAGTTCTTGGGAGAGCTCTCGCAGCCCCACCTGCCTCACAGGGTGTCTGTTGTAGGGAGGGGAAGGGAGTTTGTAAGCCACTCTGAGACTCCTTTGGGTAGTGAAGGGCGGGGTATAAATCCAATCTCCTCTTATTTTCCTCTTCTTCTAAATAAAGTACCCATGCCAAAGTTCAGTTCTAATTATTTCCTTATCAGTTTCTTCTTGTGTATATTTAGTCCAAGCATAGCAACTGTCAAGGATTAAATATACACAAGAAGAGACTGATAAGGAAATAATTAGAACTGAACTTCGGCACGAATACTTTATTTATAGCAATTGCCCATTATAACTTTTGCACAACTGAACTTTGGCACGAGTACTTTATTTATAGCAATCGCCCATTATAACTTTTGCACGTATGTTTATATGAATGTGCCTGGTAAACAATATAATTGACGATACAGTGTTACACTGACTAATTATAACACGGCTGCATTTTGATTCTTCTTAACCATTTTAAGATGACGGCGGTTATATTCTGCCCAGGATGTGAACTGCTCCGCTCAGTAGGGTGGGAAGAAATGAGAGGGAACATTGCTCACATCATCTCCGGGCAACCGAAGGGCTGGCGCTTCCAAGCTTTGGGAGAAGAGGCCAGAAATGCAAGGCGGAGGCCACACTTTGCAAGAATGAAGCCTCTTCAGTTGAAAGGCGCTCGGGCCTGGGAAAGACCTCTGCCAGAGGCCGTGCAGGGCTAGAGGAACAAACGCCCTGTGTCAGTACGAGGGTGTTGGATGTGGCGTTTCGTTCACTGGACAGGAGCGTCGGGACTGACAAGACAGGCAAGTGGTTGGGTTGCTGCTGCCACACACACACACACTTAGAGGCCAGGAGCTTTCTGGTGTCACAGCGTGTCCAAATGTACCCCTTTAGTTCGACCTGCCCTTTGTGAGTGTGCACCGGGTCCGGGCCGTTCGCTTCACCGCCTCGAAAGCGGGAGACTGTGAGGACAGAGAGCTGCGGTCGCGGAAGGGGCTCTGCGGGGGAACGTGCCAGGGAGAATCGCCGCTCAGCTGCTGGACCTGCGACGGAGAGACCTTGGACCATGCGGACGTCAGCATTAGGTAGGCCGTCTGTACGGAAGAGGCGAAGGTTCCCGCGCTTGGCCGAAGCGCCACAGGTGGAGGGGAAGAACAAGCCAATGGCCCTACCAGAATCTAGAACAGAAATCTTTTTTGCGTTTTTTAACGTGTGTGTGTGCGTATGTGTGTGCGCACCTGGAAGTCATGGCGACCTCTGGTGACTGACCTCTCCTGGGGGCCTGGAGGATATTCAGAGAGGTGGCTGAATAAAGCCTGCCCCCGCCTCCCCGCTGCTGGTATTCCGTCTCCCATCCAAGTACTGGCCAGAGTCGACCCTGCTTAGCTTCCGAGATCTGATGTGATCGGGCTTGCCTGGGCTATCCGGGTGAGGGCTCAAGCCTACAGGAGCCTTCAGAATTCTGACACACAGTGGTGGACGTAACCCACAAATGGCCTCCTTGGGAGGTGAAGCCACATACCAAGGAAAGCCAAGTGCGGGAGAGGAGGAGTAAGTTAAAAAAAAACACACTGGAAAAGTAGAGTGAGAGAGAGAGAGAATAAAACCAACAGTGTGGTCAGGGCTTTTCCCCCCCCCTCGAGGAACACGCCGGAATGGCGTTCCAGAACCTCTTTGACAAAATTCTCTTTTAAATGTTTAAAAGCTCACGAGTTTTCAAGTATACAGATTGAAAATGTCACTTCACCCTTATAGATGGTATATGACACCAAAAAAGATTGCTAATATGAATACTAATATGTCAAACAAATGTTGGAAGTGCAAAAAGGTTGAGGGCTCGTTTTATCATATGTGGTGGACTTGTGAAAAAGCAAAAAAAAAATTTGGGTTGAGATTCATGCAGAAATGGAAAAAATTGTGAAATGTAAATTTAAGAAAGAACCAGAAATATTACTTTTGGGACTAAAAATGGAAGAGGTCAATGTGGCAAAAAGGACACTGATGTGGTATATGATTACAACTGCCAGAATGACATATGCTCAAAGTTGGAAGCAACAGCAAGATAAAGTCCCGGAGATTGGAGATTGGATTAAAAAATTACTTTTTATGGTTGAAATGGGACAAGATGACAAGAAAACTTAACAATATGGAAGCAGAAGACTTTTTAGCAGATTGGAAAGATTTAAAAGACTATTTAGAGAAGAATTGGGATGTAAGAGACAACTTATTTTGCTTTAATAATTATTGAGTGTTAAAGTTTAACAATATGGAATAAGAAATAGAGAAATTTATATATGAAGAGATTAGTTACCTATTGAACTTATAATGATAAAGGGAAGGAAGAAGGAATTTAAGAATTTTGCAGGAGGTTGTACTGCGGCAGCTGCCACCAAGAAACATTATTTTAATTTGCACAGCTGATTAGCTCTCCAGTGGCCAACCGGCAGGCTTGCTGGGGTCTTCACAGGAGGCTTCTCCTGGAGTGCAGTCACTGCACCCTCTCATCGGCTCCTCTTGACTTCTCCCCTCTTCTCTCTGCAGAGTGCACGGGCGGCTCATCCACCTCTTTGCCCGGGGCATTGAGCGGGCATCCTGTGTGCCCTAGGGGACCCTCTATGAGGAACTGAGAGCTAAAGACCAGCACTGAGAGCATAAGCGCCGCCCCGGGACCTGAGAGGCCGCGGACGTTGAAGAGCCACTGCCGGAATAATTCCCAGCTGCCCCAGCTTAGCGTGGGGGTGATGCGCAACACTCCAGCTCCAAAGGAGAGGAGAGGCCACGCCCCCCAAATATATACCTGTTGTGCAGGTGAAAAAACCCCAGCCTTGCTCACCTGGCCCAGTCACGGTTGCATTCTGAAGATGTACTCCTACCTGCTTCCGAGGTACACTCGAGACGCCTGAGGTTTGCAAGACCCCCAAAGGAGAAACGGCAAAAGACCACAGAGACTCTTTCGAATAGTCCTCTCTGTTTACAGAAGAAGCTTCACAGACAAGCCCAGCAAGCAGCCTGGGCCAGGAATGTAACGAGTGATGCAGCAAATAGCGGCGCTAGTGCAATGGGCGGGTCAGCATGTCGACAGGTGGGAGGAGACACACCCCCCCTTCTTCTTCTTCCCAGAAGCCTCTCTTCCTCGCACAGGCAAGGACCACCTTCGCAGCGGTGCCGGGGTTGGAAGAGGAAATCGGGCCCGTCGAAGGGGGGCCCTGGGTATGGAGCTGATCTAAGGTGGGAGGTGGGGGGCGCCTGCCCTGGGGAGGCCCCCCGCACGGGCTGGGGAGGGGGAAGCGGCAGCCCCGTCTCCTAGAGTTTAGGTATGACCTGGGCAAGGGGGGGGGGAGTGCATCAGTATCTACACCCAACCAAGCAACTGCGAGAGGGCCCCCCCTCCACGCTTCCTATATGGTCTCCGGTGGGGGGGTAGAAGAAAAGGCTAGCACAAGCCCCACAGCTGGCCGGGCCAGCTCAGCATCTGCAGGGAGGAGTGGACCAGAGGGGTTGTCTCCGTGGCGTTCGAGGCGGGGCTCACAGCTTGTGAGGGTTCACCCAGCGGTAGGTCCCTTCGTACTGGAATCCGACCCTCTTCATCAGGTCGTCCGCCTCGGGAGGGCCGCGGCTGGAAAGAAAGGAGGGGAGGTCTCTCTGGCTCAGCGGTTCATGGAATCACAGAGTTGGAAGGGACCTCCAGGGTCATCTAGTCCAACCTCCCTGCACAATGCAGGAAATTCACAAATACCTCCCCCCCAAACACACCCCCAGTGACCGCTGTTCCACGCCCAGAATAGTTGCTGCAAGTGCAGGCCTTGGGCAGGGGTCCCTGACTTTCCTGAGCCCGTGGGACCCTTTGGAATTCTGACACAGCAGGGCGGGTACAGCCACAAAAATGATTGCTGCTAAGCGACATTTCGCCAATCAGAAGACATACTGGGCAAAAGCCCCAGCTGGACCTGGCCACTTTCTAAGAACACCTGGCAGTCCCTTCAAGGTTTCTGCTGCCCTCTTAAGCCATGGCCCGCAGGCGTGTGACACTGAATCACATGCTCCCACAGAGCTGTCTTTTTGGAAGAACCTGCTGTTGGCATGCCTCTGGCTTCTCCTTGAGCACAGTGAGAGGGCCAGCAGGGGGGACTAGTCGGGTCACTCACCGGGGGGGGGACATTTGTTTTAGCACAGGCAAAGTCAGGGACCCCTCCCCTCACCTGCCT